AATTTAGGTTGACATAGCAACTATGCTCAGGTATGGGAAAATCCAGAGAGAGAGAGATGCAATCTTTTGATATTACACAGAAATCTTTTTCAGGTCTAAGAAATTTACTCAGAGTGTCACAGCTAAATGCACACCCCTAAGCAAGGACGCCAGAGCAAAGGAGGCCAAGGGGCAATGATCTGCACACTTTTGAAAGTGGATGGGCGTGTTGTGTCCTCTTTTCACCACAGGCCCGGCCCCCTGCCTCTCATGTTCCCCTTGAGACCAGGCCCTCCAGCCAGGCTGGAGGCTGGAGCCCAGCTTGATAAAAGCGACCCATGAAGCCCGGGCAGCTGCGGGGAGCCTCAGACCCTCCACCTGCCTAAGCTATGGGGGAGGACTGAGAGCATCTCCTGGCCCATGTCCATCATCCCCCATACCCACAGTCGGTGGAGGGACTGCAGCTCCCCATAGGTGCCCAGGCAGCTCTTACCATGGCCCAGTGGCTGTGGCTCTTCAGTTGTGGGGAGCTGTGGACCCTCCACCCTGCCCTGGTAGTAAAATCCAGGGGTGGACAGGGCCGGCTCCAGGGTTTTGGGCTGCCCCAAGCAGCCAAACAAACAAACGAAAAAAAGCCGCAATCACGATCTGCGGCGGCAATTCGGCGGGAGGTCCTTCACTCCGAGCAGGAGTGAGGCACCATCCGCCGAATTGCCGCCGAACAGCTGGACGTGCCACCCCTCTCCGAAGTGGCCGCCCCAAGCACCTGCTTGATACGCTGGTGCCTGGAGCCGGCCCTGGGGGAGGAGACATGGGCTGGGGGCCACTCTCAGCCCCCCCCCCGTCTGGCTTTTGGCTTGGCTAGGGGGCGGCACCTAGGGGGAAGAGGAGGGGCAGGGGTGGGGCTCTCACTTTTAGGAAGAATCTGATGCCCCGGCCCCAGCCTAACTGCCTGTTGTACACTCAGCTAGGTCAATGGAAGATTGCTTCTGTTGACCTGGGTACCATCACTCAGAGATGTGGAGCTCCTACATCAACAGACATACCCCTTCTGTCAATGTAGGCTGCATCTTGGGGTTATGCTGGCATAACCATAGCGACATAGCTTTGCCGCTTTAGTTCCTGTAGAGTAGACATGGCCTCAGGACAGTAGCACGAAATCACAGTAGATGCTCAGACTCACCTTCCCAGGTGAGCAGTCCTGGAGCAGGGCTTTCCCACAGCCCTGGGTGGCACGTGACCCACTGGCTTGGAGACGCTACCCCTCAACCCCACCAATTCTGCCCAAAGCCCCGGCCCTTCAGTGCCCCCTACCTGACCCCAGAGCCCCCCACCACAGTTGCTGGCCCCTGCCTCATGCTAGTGACCCAGAGCGCCTGGAGGATGGACATCACAGCCCCAGCCCCAGCCCCTCTCCCGCAGCCCCAGAGCGGCAGGAGGGCAGGCAGCATGCCCCCCATCCCCAGACGTGGAGTGCCGGGAGAGCGAG